CTCAGAGGAGGACATACAATCAATCAACAAGTACATGAAAAAATGCTAACCATCTCTAGCAGTCAGAGAAATGCAAATCAAAACCACCCTAAGATACCATCTCACTCCAGTTAGATTGGCAGCCATGATGAAGTCAAACAACAACAAGTGCTGGCGAGGATGTGGGGGAAAAGGGTACACTTGTACATTGCTGGTGGGACTGCAAATTGGTGCAGCCAATTTGGAAAGCAGTATGGAGATTTCTTGGAAAGCTGGGAATGGAGCCACCATTTGACCCAGCTATTCCCCTTCTCGGTCTATTCCCTGAAGACCTAAAAAGAACATGCTACAGGGACACTGCTACATCGATGTTCATAGTAGCACAATTCACAGTAGCAAGACTGTGGAACCAACCTAGATGCCCTTCAATAGATGAATGGATAAAAAAAATGTGGCATTTATACACAATGGAGTATTACTCTACATTAAAAAATGACAAAATCATAGAATTTACAGGGAAATGGATGGCACTAGAACAGATTATGCTAAGTGAAGCTAGCCAATCCCTAAAAAACAAATGCCAAATGTCTTCTTTGATATAAGGAGAGTAACTAAGAACAGAGTAGGATCGAAGAGCACGAGAAGAAGATTAAAATTAAACAGGGATGAGAGGTGGGAGGGAAAGGGAGAGAGAAGGGAAATTGCATGGAAATGGAAGGAGACCCTCAGAGTTATACAATAGTACATACAAGAGGAAGTGAGGGGAAAGGGAAAAATAATACAAGGGGGACAAATGAATGTCAGTAGAGGGGGCAGAGAGAGAAGAGGGCAGGGGAGGGGAGGGGAGGGGGGATAGTAGAGGATAGGAAAGGCAGGAGAACACAACAGACACTAGTATGGCAATATGTAAATCAATGGATGTGTAACTGATGTGATTCTGCAATCTGTATATGGGGTAAAAATGGGAGCTCATAACCCACTTGAATCAAAGTGTGAAATATGATATATCAAGAACTATGTAATGTTTTGAACAGCCAATAAAAAATTAAAAAAAAAAAAAAAAGAAAAATCTTCCCGGGCTTGTACTGGACATTGGTGGCAGTTTCAAAAAATAAAGTTTGTTCCTGCTTGAGTGGCTCGTGATTTTGTGCCCAGCCAGACTGCGGCACAAACAAGATCGGTGACTGAGTCTCTGGCTACTATGGAAAAAAAAGTCATATTTAAGTTATTCTCTTTTTGTGTTTTTCTGTTACCTGTAGTCAAACCTAATCCTAGTCAATATGATATTGTATTGTTATCACATTAGGTTGCAGCATCAGATGAACATCGTTAATCAACTGTTAAGTATTTGAAATGTTCCCATTGTTTAGTATTATTTGTTGTGCAGCATTAGTCATTGAAAAAATCATCCCTCCACCTATAAACATGACTTGGGTATCTTAAAGGATATTTTCCCCCCAAAAGTAATTATCATCATATTGAAGGGTTGGAAAAATGGTGTAAAGAACAAATTTGGGGCTTTCATTAATATGTATGTATACAACAACTTTGTCATGTTTTTCTTTGAATTTCAAAAGGTGCATAATGACACGTGGAATGCTTTTTTTTTTTTTTCCCCCCGGGCTAAGGATTGAACCCAGAGGTGCTCTACCAATGGGCTATATCTTCAACCCCTTTCTATTTTATTTTAAGAGAGGGTCTCACTAAGTTGCCCAGACTACCCTGGAACATGTGATCCTCTTGCCTCAGCCTCCCAAATTGCTGGGATTACAGGTATGCTCCACTGCACCTGGCTTTAAATTTTTGATGGTTAGATATGCAGTGCATTTTTTTTTCTGCAAAATAATCTACTTTGTATATTGCCTCATGAATTATCTCCCAGTAGAAAAGAAGCTCCCTAATGGTGCAGAGCTAAACCTAATACACCTTTGATTTCCTCAGTATATTCATTATTTATGGAAATAGAAGAAGCCATCAAAAGACTACCAACCAAGAAAATCCCAGGAGCAGAAGGATATACAGCCAAGTTTTACAAGACTTTTAAAGAAGAACTAATATCAATACTCTTCAATTTATTTTAGGAAATAGAAAAAGAGGGAGTACTTCCAAACTCATTCTATGAGGCCAATATCACCCTGATTCCAAAATCAGAAAGACACTTCAAAGAAAGAAAACTTCAGACAAATATCTCTAATGAACATAGATGCAAAAATCCTCAATAAAATTCTGGCAAATCAAATATAAAAACATATCAAAAAAATTGTGCACCATCATCAAGTGGGATTCATCCCAGGGATGAAAGGTTGGTTCAACATATGGAAATCAATAAATATAATTCATCACATCAATAGACTTAAAGATAAGAATGATATGATCATCAATAGACGCAGAAAAAGCATTTGACAAAATACAGCACCCATTCATGTTCAGAACACTAGAAAAACTAGGGACAACAGGAACATATTTCAACATCATAAAGGCTATCTATGCTAAGTTCCAGGCCAACATCATTCTAAATGGAGAAAAATTGAAGGCATTCCCTCTAAAATCTGGAACAAGAGAGGAATGCCCTATCTCACCACTCAAAAAACTCCACCAGAAAACTTCTAGAACTAGTAAGTGAATTCAGCAAAGAGGCATGATATAAAATCAACACCCATAAATCAAAGGCATTTCTGTATATCAGTGACAAATCCTCTGAAAGGGAAATGAGGAAATGTACCCCATTTACAATATCCTCAAAAAAAAAAGATACTTGGGAATCAACTTAACAAAAGAGGTGAAGGATCTATACAATGAAAACTACAGAATCCTAAAGAGAGAAATCAAAGAAGACCTTAGAAGATGTAAAGATCTACCTTGCTCTTGGATAGGCAGAATTAATATTATCAAAATGACCATATTACCAAAAGGACTATTCAGATTTAATGCAATTCTGATCAAAATTCCAATGGCATTCCTCATAGAAATAGAGAAAGCAATCATGAAATTCATCTGGAAAAATAAGAGACCCAGAATAGCTAAAGCAATTCTAAGCAGGAAGAGTAAAACAGGTGGTATCACTATACCAGACCTTAAACTAAACTACAGAGCAATAGTAACAAAAATAGCATGGTATTGGCACCAAAACAGACTGGTAGACCAATGGTACAGAATAGAGGACACAGAGACCAACCCACAAAACTACAATTATCTTATATTAGACAAAGGTGCCAAAAACATGCATTAGAGAAAAGATAGCCTCTTCAACAAATGGTGCTGGGAAAACTGGAAATCCATATGCAACAAAATGAAATTGAACCCCTATCTCTCACCATGTACAAAAGTTAACTCAAAATGGATCAAGGAACTAGGAATTAAACAAGAGACCCTGCGTCTAATAGAAGAAAAAGTAGGCCCTAATCTTCATCATGTGGGATTAGGCCCCCAACTTCCTTAATAAGACTCCTATAGCACAAGAATTAAAAGCAAGAATCAACAAATGGGATGGATTCAAACTAAAAATTTTTTTCTCAGCAAATGCAATAATCTGTGAGGTGAACAGGGAGCCTACATCCTGGGAGCAAATTTTTACCCCTTACATATCAGATATAGCACTAATCTCTAGGATATATATAAAGAACTCAACAAGCTAAGCACCAAAAAAAAAAAAAAAACCCAAATAATCCAATCAATAAATGGGCCAAGGACCTGAATAAACACTTCTCATAAAAGGATATATAATCAATCAACAAATATATGAAAAAAATGCTCATCATCTCTAGCAATCAGAGAAATGCAAATCGAAACTATTCTAAGATATCATCTCACTTCAGTCAGAATGGCAGCTATTATGAAGACAAGCAACAACAAGTGTTGGCGAGGATGTGGGGGAAAAGGTACACTCATACATTGCTGGTGGGACTGCAAATTGGTGCAGCCAATTTGGAAAGTAGTATGGAGGTTCCTTTGAAAGCTGGGAATGGAACCACCATTTGATCCAGCTATTCCTCTTCTTGGACTATACGCAAAGGACTTAGAAACAGCATACTACAGGGACACAGCCACATCAATGTATGTTATAGCAGCACAATTCACAATAGCTAAACTGTGGAGTCAACCTAGATGTCCTTCAATGGATGAATGGATAAAAAAAATGTGGCATTTATACACATTGGAATATTACTCAGCACTAAAAAAGAACAAAATCATGGCATTTGCAGGTATATGGATGGCATTGGAGAAGATAATGCTAAGTGAAGTTAGCCAATCCCAAATAAACAAATGCTGAATGTTTTCTCTGATATAAGGGGGTGACTCATAGTGGAGTAGGGAGGGAGAGCATGGGAGGATTAGATTAATTCTAGATAGGGAAGAGGAGTGGGAGGGAAAGGGAGGGAGAAGGGGATTAGCATGGATGGTGGAATGTGATAGTCATCATTATACAAAATACATGTTCAAATATTTGAATTTGGGGCCAATATACCTTATATACAAACAGAGATATGAAAAATTGTGGCATATATGTGTATTAAAATTGTAATGCAAAAAATAGTACACATATAATGGCATAAGTTGGCGTGAACATATTTTATATACAGAGATATGAAAAATTGTGGTCTATATGTGTAATAAGGATTGTAATGCATTCCACTGTTGTCGTGTATTTAAAAAATAAATAAATAAATAAATAAATATTCATTATTTATTGCTGAATAAAAGTTACACTAAAACTTAAGGGCTTAAAACAATAAGTATTTATTATCTCACAGTTTCTGTAGGTAAAGAAACTAATTATGGCTTAGCTGAATGTCTCTGCCTTCAGGTATCTTATAAGCTGGAAATCATGATGTTGGCTGGGGCTGTAGTTTCATTTGAAAGCTATGCTAAGAAAGGATCTGCTTCCAAGCTCACTCATGTGGTTGTTGGAAGGACTTGACAACTTTGTGAGGTCTCAGGTTCTTCCTAGCTGTTGACCAGAAGTCACCCTCAGTTCTTCAGTATAAACATGTGAGAAAGAGAACAAGGCAGAAGTCAGTTTTTGTATCTTAATCTCAGAAGTAACATCCTGTAATTTTTGCCAAATTGTATTTGTTAAAAGAAAGTTGCTAGAACCATTCTAAACTTGAGGGGAGGAGGCCATGCAAATGCTTAATAGGGCTAGAGTAAACACTGGTGGTTTATATAAATTCTGTGTATATCATATATTGTACTTTTAGTTTTCAATTTTTTTTCTATATACCAAAGATTATTTTGTGTATTCAAATAACCATTCTGTTGTAATAATTTCAAGCTGATAATTTTATTTGATGATTGTGTTGAATCCTTTCAATATGTGGTTTGCCAAGAATGGCTAATATTCATAAATTATGATCAGCCTGAAATTTTAATTTGTTATGAAGTTATTTTGGGGTTTCAGGATAAAGACTTTATTTTATCTCATCAAACTGGAGAGTATACCATCTTTTTCTATATTTTGATATAGTACAATATAAGATTAACCATTTTTGATACAGATGGAAAAAGTCATCAGGGTCCATCTTTGATGTAGTGATAAAGGGATACCCTAGTAATATTTCCTATAATCTTACTTTGTTAATGATTTATAAATATTTTTAAGCTGTATGGTCCAATATATTATTTACTTGTCACAATGGCTATATATACATTCAAATTTAATGACAAACAAGCAGTTGCTTAGTTTCACTAGCCACATTTCAAGTATTCCATAGCCACGTGTTAAGTGACTACCATATTGAAGAGAACAGATATAGAACATTTCTATCATCACAGGAAATTCTATTGGACAGTGCAAATTAAACAAAGTTGGCTTGAAATCAGTAGAATTGGGTGTGAGTTCCAGCTACACTCTTCACTAGCTTTGTGACTTTGGATATAACACAACCTCATTGTCACTCATTGATCTTATCTATAAAATTGTACTACTACCTTCCCTATCCATCTCACAAGACTGTTGAGAATAAAAAATATATATTTGAAAATTATAAAATACATTTATAATGTTTGATTATTGTGCAAATTATTCCATTTTTCATGCAAAATGGTGATAACATTACCTACTTCATAGGGCTGCTATGACATTTAAGTAAATTAGTATATGTAAGTAATATTTAGGTCCTGTGCCTGATACATATTAACAGATCTGTAAATATTAGCTGTGATTATTGTTGTAGGCATTCAGCATTACAGACATACATGGGGCTGAAAGTAGACTTAAGGAAACTCTGCCCTTCACACTTTTACAGAAATGAGAATACATTTTTCCTTACAGGGGTCTAAAATTCCACAACTACAGCTATTTATTATAATACTTTGGCAAATCATTTCCTCCCTGCAATAGCTGGCTTTCAAATACTTTTTAAAATAACAGCCTAATTATTTTGTCTACCTGTACTCTTAAATTGTTCTCATCCAATGTTAAGACTAAACTTGAATATCTAGGCTCGATCAATCCTTCCTGAATTCAAGATTAATACTGAGTATGCAGACACAATTGTATTCATAGGCATCTCAAGCTTGCTGCGAGATACCAAAATTCCCAACTCTTTCTCAAGCTACGTTCTCCCTCAGCATTCTCAACTCTCTGGCACCTCTATTAACCCAGTTGCTTAAGCCCAAAACCTTGGTGTTATCTGATTCCTTATACTCTTCAAAAAGAAAATATGATGGCTCTTAGAAACTTAGCCAGAAACCTACCACTTCTCATAATCTCCACTGCTTCCAAGCCACCATCATTTCTCACTTATTACCATAATAACCTCCTCACTGGTCACCCAACATTTACTCTTATCTACAAATACTCTATTCTTTGGCTTTGATCTTTTTCAAAAAGTAAGTCTGATCACATCATTCCACTGCTTCAAACTCTGCTTTCCCATCTTACTGGAAACTACATCAACATCTTTACAATTGGCTAACGGGCCCCAGTCTTTCCCTTCCACTACTTCTTTACCTCATCACTCCACCTTACCTCTTATTTCTCTCACTACTTTTGGTTACAGTCTAGTTATGCTAACTTTGCTGTTGCTCCTCCTCTAATACTTCAAAACTCTCCCAACTTAGAGCCTTGTAGTTGCTCTCTCTTCTACCTAGAAAATTTTCCCTGGATATATACATGGCTCCTTCTCTCATTTATTCCAGTATTTGTTCAAATTTGATCCTATCATGGAAGGTACCTCTGATCTCCTTAATAAAAGTTTCTGTGATGATTAATTTTATGTTTCAAAGTGGTTGGGTCACAAGGTGCTCAAATATTTGTTCAAACATCATTTTAGGTGTGTCTGTAAGGATGTTTGTGGATGAGAATAATGTTTTAATTGGTAGACTGAGAAAAGCAGATTGTCTTCCCTAATGTGGCTGGGCCTCATCCAAACAGCTGAAGACACGCATAGAACAGAAAGGGTGACCTTGTTCATAAGAGGGAACTCCTCCTGCTTGACTGCTGTAAGCTGAAACGCCAGCATTTCCCTGCCTTCGGATGTGAAAAAAAAAAAAAAATACTGGCTCTTCTTGGGTCTTGAAGCTACCAATGTTTGGACTGGATGTTATACCATCAGTTTTCCTGCTTCTCTGGTCTTTAGACTCATATTGGAACACTACTAGCTCCTGTGGGTTCCCCAGCTTCTCAACTGCAGACCTTGGGAATTCTTAGCCTCCAATCATGTGAGCCAAGTCCTTATAATAAATCTTTACACATTCATATCCTATTGACTTTCTTTCTCTGCAGAATCCTAGTACAGTTTCCTATTGATGCTCTAATAAATTACCAGAAATTTAGTGGTTTAAAACAATCTTAATTTATTATCTTATAGTTATGGAGGTTAAAGTCTAATGTGGATTTCACTAGATTAAAATGCAGGTGTCAGCAGGCCTGTTTCCTTCCTGAGGCTGGAGAAGAGAATGGATATTTCCTTGCCTTTTCCACTTTCTAGTGACTGTTCAAATTTCTTGGTTTATGGCTCTCTGCCTCTATCTTCAAAGTCATGAACAAGGAGTTGAACCTTTCTCACAGAGTTACTTTGACATTGACTCTCCAGCTCCCTATCTATATTTAAAGGCCCTTGTTTTATGTTGGGCTACTTGGATAATCCAGGATTATTTTCTTACTTTAGGAACAGCTTATTAGTAGCCTTAATTCCATTTGCAACCATAATTTCTCCTTGCTTCACAACATAACATCTTCATAGGTTCCAGGGATCAGAATTTGGATATATATGGGTGGCTAGCCTACCCCAACACCTTCTTCTATTGCTGTTTTAATTTTCTTTATATTACTTACCTCTTCTAATGTATAGTATGTTTACTTACTTGGCTTTTGTCTGTCTCCTCTTACTAGAATACAGGCTCCATGGGCTGTTTCATTCATTCCTATATCCTGGACTCTGAAAATAGTATCAGAAACACAACAGGAGTGGACAAAATATTTTTTTACTACATTAATGAGGCAAACAATTTCATTAGTGAGGCCTAAAGACTGGGAGGTCCTGATGACCTTCCCGCTTTTTAAGGAAGGTTAGGAATCTAAGTGGAAAATCATAAACTTGACTTTGTAATGCACTCTGATACCTGAAAAAGTAACACTTTCTCCCTGCTCTTTTTAAAGGGCTCTAGAGAAATAGCATCTATAATTCCTCACAGTAGCCCAATTCATGTGGAAAATCTGTGAATACTGAAAAACTGATTAAATTTGACCTAAATTCTTCAAGCTAGGTTTTTTGTTTGTTTTATTTTGTTTTTCCTGATGACTTTGCTTTGCAATGCCTATTGTAGCAAAGTTCCTAATGCATGTGGTAGACCCCCAGTGAAAACAGGAGTTAAAATTTATTTGCAAGTTTGTTTCACTATTCATATAGTAGCTAACACTGAGATAGTCTCACAGTCAACTACCACACCTGAGTGCACCTCATACTCTCCACTGCATCCTAAGTAGGCTATGAAGTTCAGGAAGACCATATAACTTCAGGTTAAGTGCACAAGCTCTAGAGTTAGTTTACCTGAGTTCAAATCCCAGCTTCACCAGTATTGCATAACTATAGGGAAATTTCTTATCCTTTCTGGAACCCAGTCTGCTCATTTGCAAAATGGGGTTCTTGTGTTGATTAAATGATATAATCCTCATAATGTACTTATAACCTGAGACTGAGTAAGAACTCTACTAAAGGAAACACTATTTTTATTTGGCAACCTGCCCAACTTTCTTTTTTTTTTTTTAAAGAGAGAGTGAGAGAGAGAGAGAGAGAGAGAGAGAGAGAGAGAGAGAGAGAGAGAATTTTAATATTTATTTTTTAGTTATCGGCGGACACAACATCTTTGTTGTATGTGGTGCTGAGGATCGAACCCGGGCCGCACGCATGCCAGGCAAGTGCGCTACCGCTTGAGCCACATCCCCAGCCCTGCCCAACTTTCTTGTTACCGTACTGAGTCATCAGATAAAGCTGGGTGACATTGGAAAAAGCTAAGTCTCTATACAAATCAGTATCCATACCCTCCTTTAACTAGCAAAAATTTTCATTTGCAACATATTACTTGTGAAACCAAACTTTCAAGTTATTGCTTTTGTTTAAAACAATGTTCCTCAATCTCAAATTTTTAGATCATTTTGAGAACCAATAATATAAAACAAAATTTTCTTGATATAATTATATACATTCAACTTATCTGGTGAACATGTTTTCTCACACCTGCTCCCACATCTACATTTTCTTCTTTTCCCCTTAAAACAGTGACTTCCGAAGTATAATCTTTGGACCAGTAAGATCAGCATCAGCATCACTTAGGAACCTGACCTAATAGAAATGCCTGCCTCAGAACTACTAAGATCTAAGCCTCTTAGGGTAAGGGTATGGCACCTGTTTAAATAAAGCCCTCTCCAAGTGATTCTGATTAGTTTTGAGAACCACTGCCCTGTACTACTCACATGGCTAACAGGGTCTATTAAAAAGAATCACTTTGTTGTGTCACTAATCATAATTTTGGTTTCTTGGCTCCATGTTTCTGTGCACATGCCTTTACTACCTACCTACATTTGCTTCAGTCTCTATGTGGCGTTGAACAAATTTATATCTTGAAATGTTTTGTCTTCAATGACAAAGAAAGTCAGCTGGCAATCGCAAAAATAAGTATTAAGTCAAACCATGAACTTATTTTCTAGCCTTTCATCCTAGCAATACATCTGCCAGTCGAAGTTATACGTAGAATCTGAGCAAGGAGTGGTAAATACGGAAATGATATGTTTATGACTTTTCTACTCATCTAACTTTAAAAAAAAAAAAAAAAAAGACGTAAGTGGCTCCTTCTAAATCTCACCCTGGATACTAAAGATGATATGAACATGCCAAATCATGAATCATATTAGTCACAGAACAGAGCACTATTCATTTGCTGTTTTCATATTCCTTAATGCTAAGAGGTTAAAGAATCTAGAAAATCTACTTAAAACTCTCCTGCAGAATTTTATGAACATAGCTATTGATAAAATTAGTCCCATGAGTTCTTTTAAGACTTGAGATTCTTAGACTATATAATGTAGGCTACCTGAAAAACATGTTCCTTGCTGCTCATGTAGGCTACCTGAAAAACATGTTCCTTGCTGCTCAGTGAAAACTCTAATTATCCTTCTATTGGAAATAATAAACTAAGACAGGGAAAGGTGAGAGATTGGTAGTCATGAAGAAGTTTTCTTATGACCTAACAGGAGAAATGAGTTTACTGTGCTATAGATTCCGTGTGTGTGTGTGTGTGTGTGTGTGTGTGTGTGTGAGAGAGAGAGAGAGAGAGAGAGAGAGAGAGAGAGAGAGAGAGAGAGTTTTGTTATCTCATTAATGGAAACTGAATTGGTTAGGGCTTTAAGTAAATGTAGTCAGTGTTCTCACACTCCATTTCTTGCAGTCCACAGTGCTTCATTTTTTCTTTAGGGGACTAAAGTTAAATGAAACTCTGTATTAGCTTTTCACTATTGTAACTAAAAGATCCAATCAGCAAAATTATGAGGAGGAAAAGTTTATTTGGGCGGGGCTCACAGTTTCAGAGGTCTCAGGCCATAGACAGCAGGCTCTATTCCTCAGGGCTCAAGGTGAGGCAGGACATCATGGTGGAAGACTGTGGCAGAAGGAAGCAGCTCACATGATTATCAGAAAGCAGAGACTCCACTCACCAGATACAAATATATACCCCAGAGCCACGCCCCTAATACCCCACCTCCTCCAGCCATACCCTAGCTTCCAATTCCCACTCAATTAATACCATCAGGTGATCAATTCACTGATTGGATTAAGTCTTTTGTGGCCCTGTCATTTATTCTCTGAATCTTCTTGCAAGGTCTCACATATAAGCTTTTGGGTGATACCTCACATCCAAACTATAGCATTCTATCTCTGGCCCCCAAAAGTTCACACTTACCTGATAATGTAAAATATATTTAATCCATTCCCAAGAGCCCCATAGTCAACAGTTCCGAGATTGCTCAAAGTTCAAGTTCAAAGTCTTCTCTGAGGCTCAAGGCAATCTCACATTGTAAGCTCCTGTAAAATTCAAAGCAATTTACAAATATCCAATATATAATGATATAGAGTAAACATTTCCATTCAGCAAAATAGGGGCATTAGAAAGAAGGGATAAGACCAAAGTGAGACTGAAATTCAGCTGGGCAAATAAATTCTAGTGTTCTGTGTCTGGCATCTAGAGTACATCTTAATGTACTCTCCAAAGCACTTGGGTATCTCTGCCACAGCCTTATTAGTTGCAGCCCAAGTAGCCTTTCTGTTGGCTTAACTTCGCTCAATTCCTGCAGCCTTCCTTAGCGGGAATTCCATAGCACTGGCATTTCTTAAACTTTGGGGTCTCCACTGCAGTTTTGGTTTTCTCCTCACATCTCCATGTATCACCCTCTCAGGGGTTGCCTGCACGAACTCTGACCCTCCTATACTTTGCCTGGCCTCCCAGGCCTTCTTTTGAAATCTTGGTGGAAGCCTCCATGAACCCCTAACTCCAGCTTCCTACATTCCTGCAGAACCAGCACCATTGTTTTTGATGCCAAAGTCTGCTGCCATCTCAAGCCACAGCCAAGCCTTCTGGGACCCTGGGCCAGAAGCCTCTGAGGGCCTGAGTAGTTGAGCATGTTGAAGAAACTTCCTAGGTCCCCTTGTGGAAGAAGGTTACTCCTTTGGTCTCATGAGAATTTTCACTTTTACTCCCTTGAGCCTGAGGTGGGTGTGATCTTGCCAGTTCCTGAGGTGCCCTCAAGCCATCTTTCTCCTAGTCTCTGGAAAAAGTCTTTAGCATTTTTTTAGAGGTAGTAATGTCTTTAACAACTGCAAATTCCTTAGCCACAGTTTTACTCCCACCTTTCCAGTCCAAGTTTTAAAATATTTCTGCTCCACATTCTTCTCCTGAATATCACAATTAATTTGACTAAAAGGTGTCAGCAATATCCATGCCATGGCCCGAATGCTAAGCTATCTAGAAATTTCTTCTGCCAGATTAAGAAATCCATCACTTTTAAGTCAGCCTCAAAAAAAAAAAAAAAAAAGTCTCAGGATACAGGCAAAATACAGACAACTTCTCAGCCAGAACATAACATGAATGGCCTCTAGTCCAATTAACTTTTCCTATAGATCCTCTTGAGCACTGTTTTCACTGTCCACAGTCCTACTGGCATTTTGATTTTCTGAGCTCCCACCAGAATTTGCCATTAAGCTCTGCTTACGACAACCTAAAGCATTTTCAGCTAGCACTGCTAAACATCTCAAAATTTCTCTCAACAATTCCAAAAGCTCAACAATCTTTGAACCACATTCAGGTTAGTCACAGCAACAACACCACTTCTTGGTACCAATTTCTGTATTAGTCAGCTTTTTTGCCACTCTGACTAAAAGACCCAACCAGCACAATTATAGAGCAGGATAAGTTCATTTGGGAGCTAACAGTTCCATAGGTTTCAGTCCATAGAGAGCAGGCTCCTTTCCTTGGGGCTCAAGGTGAGGCAGGACATCATGGTGGAAGAGTATAGTGGAGAGAAGCAGCTCACATGATGATAAGAATGCAGAGAGAAAGAGAGACTCCACTCTACAGATACAAATACACCAAAGCCATGCCCCTAATGCCCAACCTCCTCCAGCCATACCCCAGCCTTCAATTACCACTCAATCCCATCAGGTGATTAATTCACTGATTGGGTTAAGGCTCTCATAACCCATTCATTTCTTCTCTGAATCTTGCATTGTCTCACACATGAGCTTTTGGGGGATGCCTCACATCCAAACCATAACAAACTCCCAGCTTATAAAAGGTTTTATAAAGTTTGACTAGAATAATGAAGTTAAATCCCAAGAGGGGCTATGGAATATATAAAATTAACCACTGCTGGACCTTGAAGAAAGATTTCATCTCCTAAATCCTCATCTATTTCCCCTCCACTTATTATTTATTCCTTCTTGAGTTGTATTCTGCAACAGACTTTCAATCCAGATACTATGGACCCAGATTACTAACAGCTTCCCCAACTGTTGTTAGTCCATATAATCTTGACAAATTTTCTTTCAAAATTGCTTTCACATAATTCTCCTGCTCAATTGTCCACAATGGTTTCCTAGTTCTGAATGCATTTAGATATTGTATATCTAAACTCTTCTGTCTAGCTTTAAGGTTAAAATTTGGCTCCATTCTTCCATCCATCATTGTCACCTTCAAGGCTAGGATAAGTATGAAATTCCTTTGCTCTTAGGATAGAGGTAAAGAAACAAGGGAAAAAAAAAAAACAGACACTGAAATCCCTAACAGCAAAAGTTTATTTACAGTTGAAGTTAAGGAATATTTTAATGCATGCTGAGGAAAACAGTAATATTTCAAACTTATAGGTTACTATCTAATACGGAATACAAGAGGATGCTGGGAAAGGCTTTGGCATACACAACTATTGGAACCAGGTTATAAGACACTTAAACACTATTAGAACCAGGTGATCAGAACACTTACATATATACTACTTTTAAGTCACACCAACTTCATAGACAGTTCACCTAACTCCTCACTGGCTATTTGAGTAAATAGCATTCAAGGTTAAACATTAAGACTGGGGAATAGAGAAGGAATACAGAAGTGGTACACATTACAACATTTCAGGGCCTACACATATTAATACAACATTAAGATTAATTAATAAACAGTGTTTTCATTTTTGTGTGAAATAGTATTCAGCAATGTTTAGCGCATGAGAAGACACTGCTTTGGTCCGTCCACTCTTTCCAGCTTTTCAAAATGTTTCCTGGCATTGCGGATGTTGATCAGAGTAGCTGCAGAAGCTGAAGGAAGGAGTGGGGAGATACATAACAGAATAAATATGGGGAACCAAAGGAGTGTTTAACTAGTAAACACTAGTAAAAACAAAACAGACAAAAGAGAGCCAAATCCTTCAATGTATGTCACAGAGAACATATAGGAAAAGGAACTTCCAGGTTATCAAGGTTTAATTTTTCTGAAGATCGGCTCATATTCTAAACACAAAATTTCTAAAATTTTGGTTTGGGACTAAACAATAAAACCCATTATTTTATGTTTTAATATTAGCCTAATGTAGGAAAAGCCAGTAGGTAATAAATAATTTAAATTTCTAGAAATATTGCAGAAAGCTTTATCTCAATGTTTGAAACAGATAAGGCTATTACACTTCCCTTCATGCCCATAACAGAAAGATGGGAATGTAGCATAAAGTAATACACAATGACATAAAATTGTCCAGCATTTGAAAGTTTAGAGGTTATGTGGACCATCCTTTGAAAAATCTATAACACAACTCTAAAGTCTCTAAAGAAAGAAATTTAAGAAGACCTTAGAATGTGGAAGGACTTCCCATGTTCTTGGATAGGCAGAATATTGTCAAAATGGCCATACTACTGAAAGAACTATACAGATTCAATTCCCATCAAAATTTCAATGACATTCTTCATGGAAATAGAAAAAGCAGTCATGAAATTCTTTTGGAAAAATAAAAAGCCCAGAATAGCCAAAGCAATTCTTAGCGAGAAAAGCAAATTAGGAGGCATCATAATACCAGACCTAAAATTATTCTATAAAGATATAGTAACAAAAACAATATGGTATTCATACCAAAACAGACATGAAGACCATAATGGAACAGAATAGAAGATGCAGAAACAAACCCCCCAAAATTCAGTTACCTCATACCAGACAAAGGCACCAAAAACATACATTGGAGAAACAATAGCCTATTCAACAAATGGTGCTGGGAAAACTGGAAATTCATATGTAGTAGAAAAAAATTTAACCCCTATCTCTCACCCTGTATAAAACTCACCTCAAAGTGGATCAAGAACCTAGACCAGAGACCCTGCACATATTAGAAAAAATATAGGTCCAACACTCCAACTTATCAACTCAGGAACTGACTTCTTTAACAAGACTCCTAAAGCACAGAAGTAAAATCAATAATCTAAACAGGATGGCATCAAACAAAAAAGCTTCTTTATAACAAAGGAAACAAATGAGAGCCTACAGAATGGGAGAAACTCTTTGCCCCTGTACCTCAGTTAGAACATTAATTTCCTGAATATATATATAAACAACTCAAAAAAACTTAACATAAAAAAAAAAAAACTCAATCAGTAAATGGGCAAAGGAACCAAACAGATACTTTACAGAAGAAATACGAATGGTCAACAAATATATGAAAAATGTGCAACATCACTAGTAATTAGAGAAATGCAAATTAAAACTACACTGAGATTTCATCTCACTCCAGTCAGAATGGCAACTATCAAGAATAGAAGTAAAAATAAATGTTGCTGAGGATATGGATAAACATTGCTGGTAAGACTGAAAATTTGTGCAACCACTCTGGAAGGCAATATGGAGATTCCTCAGAAAACTTGGAATGAAACCATCATTTGACCCATTCCTCATTACATATTCAAAGAATTTAAAATCAGCATACTACACTGATACAGCCACATCACTATTTATAGCAGCTCAATTCACAATAGCTAAGCTATAGAGCCAGCCTTGTTGCCCTATAACAGATGAATGAATAAAGAAGATGTAG